AGAAAGATGGAGGACTCTCTGTGTCAAGGTGAGAAGAAGAAAAATGGTAGGCAGGTAATTTATGTCTACTCAGGAAGGTGGGGTAGGGCTGAGTCATTATCTTGTAGGAGTTCCCCAGGCTGTGACATGCTAATGGAGGAGCTTTTTTGAGGAAGTTCTTTTGCATATGGATTGGCTGTTGAAATTCTAATCTTATCTGTAGTGCTGTTGTAAGATGTAGAGCAAATGTAGATGTAATATGTAGAACAAATGACTCAGCTCTACCCCACCTTCCTGAGTAGATATAAATTACCTGCCTACCATTTTTCTTCTCGCATTGACACAGAATGTCCTCCATCTTTTAGTGTTATACCTCTGGGGATGCCAGTCACAGCTGCTGGCGAAATGTCAGGTACTACAATGCCAAGACCACAGCCATACAGCCCAGAAAATCTACAACAACTGATTCCCAAGTCCCTCAGCCTTTCCTCACAGGGCTCGGTCTCCAGGCCCACGATCATCCTCGTCGCTCTCCTCTGCACCTGCTCCATTCTGTCCACATCCTTTTTGAAGTGAGGCCTCCAGAATTGCACACAAGACTCCAGGTGTGGCCTGACCAATGCAGTGTAAAGCAGGACTATGGCATCTTGCAATTTGGATGCTATGCCTCTGTTGATACACCCCAAGATTGCATTAGCCTTTTTTGGCGCCGCATCACACTGGCTGCTCATATTTAACTTTTGATCCACCCATACTCCAAGATCTTCTGGGCATGGAACAGTGGTCACTGTGTGTGTGTGTGTGTGTGGGGAGGTATTTGTGAATTTCCTGCATTGTGCAGGGGGTTGGCCTAGATGACCCTGGAGGTCCCCTCCAACTCTGTGATTCTATGACCAGATTTCTCGGGAGCAGAACATGTTTCTTCCTCCCCCTTCTCTCCCCCACCCCTCCTTGCCAGGCATGTCTGTAGGAATCGTGACCAGCACTCGGGTCCAACACGCCTCGCCCTCTGGAAACTACGCTCACACGGTGAACCGGAACTGGTACGCGGATGCCAACATGCCCTCATCCGCGATCGCGGAAGGATGCAAAGATATCGCCCAGCAGATGGTGGAAAACGTCGACATCACGGTGGGTGGGTGGGTAGAAACGCGGCCCCCTTGCTGTGTGTGCAGGAATCCTTCCCCGCAGCTTCTTGGCTCTCTCCGCACGGACTGTGAAACTGGGGAGTTGGAAGGTTGCCACCTCTGGGTTGGGAAATGCCTGGAGATTGGGGGGGCGGAGCCTCACGAAGGTGGGGTTTGGGGCTAATTGCCATAAAGCCCACCTTCCAAAGCAGCCATTTTCTCCCGGGAAGCCAGGGCTCTTTTTGTAGAAAAAGCCCAGCAGGAACTCATTAGCATAATAGGCCACACCCAACAGCCGAAACTCATTAGCACATTAGGCCACACCCCTGACAGCACAGCTCATTAGCACATTAGGCCGCACCCCCATGTTATCAGAAGTGTGGTCATCCAGCCACACCCACCTTTTGCTTCTTATTCTGTTTACCTTGTTTGTTCTCAAAACCCAGGGCTTTTTCTGTAGCAGGAACTCCTTTGCATGTTAGGCCACACACCCCTAATGTAGCCAATCCTAATGCGTTCCTGCTGTTGGGCATGACCTATTATGCTAACGAGTTCCTGCGGGGCGTGGCCAACTCGGCAGCCAGCCGGAACTCCGTTCCTGTGCGTTCCTGCCCCAAAATAGCCCTGCCGGGAACTGATCTCTGTCACCTGGAAACAGTTGTAATAGCAGGAGATCTCCACCCACCCCCTGGAGGTTGGGAACCTTAGGGGAGTCAGGAGGAGCAAAGTATAAGATTCCACTCGCACTTTCCAGAAAGAGTTATGCCCCCATTAGCCTCAGTTGCCAACTCCAGGTGGGGAAGTTCCTGGAGACTGGGGGCTGGAGCGTGAGGACGGGCCAGATTTGGGGAGGGGAGGGACTTTAGCAAGTTATAATGCCATAGAGAGTCCACCCTCCAAAGCAGCCAGTTTCTCCAGGGGTCGTCTGGAGATCGGTTGTAACTCTGGGAAAACCCCAGGCCCCACCTGGAGGCTGGCAACTCTACAAATGGCTTGGGAGCCAGGGCTTCATAGACATATATCGGACCCTCGGTTCTGGTCCTGTATCTTCATTGGCTCACAGTCATCCATTCCTAGGTTTGCCAGCTCTCAGTTGGGAAATACGTGGACATTTTGGGGGTGGAGCCTGAGGAGGGCGGGGCTTGGAGAGGGGAGGGGGTTCTCTGAATCCCAGAGCCAGGGGTCAACGTTAGGGGAAGGCCTTGGCCTCTATACCCTGTTGTTGTTGACCCTCCAGAGGAACTGGTTGGCCTCTGTGTGACACAGGATGCTGGACTAGGTGGACCACTGGTCTAATCCAGCAGGGCTTTTCTGGGGTTCTTATGAAGGCCTCGGCCTCTGTGCCCTGTTGTTGGCCCTCCAGAGGAACTGGCTGGCCACTGTGT